CAGAGCCCTTATAGCTCAGTGGTAGTAGCGTTTCCCTCGTAAGGAAAAGGTCGACAGTTCAATCCTGTCTGGGGGCATAGGTTTTACGTTGGTAAGTGGAGGAAGGGTTGATGGAGGCAGAAACAAACAAAGGGCAGAAACGGTGCAAAATATGTATGCTATAACTTTATTGGAGTAATAATAAACTCCATATCCACTTTCAACCAAACAAAACTCTCAAACAGCGCCTCACTTATTCTTGGCAGCCTGAGCCTTCTTAAACTCCTCCATCATTTGCGTCTGCACAAACGGCATCACAGGAACATGTCGCTTATACTCCATAGAGAACTCTCCCTTTCCTTGAGAAATACTTCTCAAATCCGTCGAAAATCCAAACATCTCGTTCAAAGGGACTTCAGCGTTCACTTCAACATACTCGTCACGGATCTCAGAGTCGTTGATGGTTCCCTTACGCTTGTTGAGTAAACCGATAACGCTTCCTTGGTATTCAACGGGTGCAGTCACATTGACGTCCATGACAGGTTCCAGAATTTGGGGACCCGCGCTCATGAAGGCTTCACGGAAAGCACTGATGGCGGCGATCTTGAAAGCCAATTCACTGGAATCGACAGCGTGAGCAGCACCATCCTCCAAGACGAAGCGACAGTTTGTCACGGTTGCACCAACAAGAGCTCCCTTCTCAACGGCTTCATAGAAACCTTTCTGAATAGCAGGAATGTAGTTTGCAGGAATGTTCATACCGACAGTTTCGTTGCTGAATTCAACAGTCTCGCCCTTCTCGTTGGCCTCCTCCATTGGCTCAATGTATCCAACAACTTTACCAAACTGTCCAGATCCTCCAGACTGCTTCTTGTGTGTGTAGTTGAATTCCGCTCTTGAAGTGATGGTTTCACGATAAGCGACTTGTGGCTTTCCAGTCACACATTCAGTGTTGTACTCTCGCTTCATACGTTCAACGTAAATCTCCAAATGCAGTTCTCCCATTCCAGAAATGATGGTCTGCTTGCTCTCCGCGTCAACGTGGACTTTGAAGGTTGGGTCTTCGCGTTGGAATCGGTTCAAGGCTTTTCCAAAGTTGGGGCTTTCCTTTCCTTTTGGCTCGATGGACAGAGAAATGACAGGCTGCGGAACAAACATGGATGTCATTGTCAAGGCAGTAGTTCCGTCAGTGAAAGTATCTCCAGAAGCGCATTCAATTCCAAAGAGGGCACAGATTTCTCCCGATCCAACAGAGTCAACGTCCTCCATTTCGTTGGAGTGCATACGCACCAATCGAGGTACCTTGACACGCTTTCCAGTACGAACGTTCACGATCCATTCACCCTTCTTGAGGGTTCCTTGGTAGATTCTGAGGTATGTCAATTGTCCAAATCGGGATTCTTCGAGCTTAAAGGCAAGACCGACAAGTGGGTCGGACGAGGAGCATGAAAGCTGAACCTTTTCTTCGTTCTGTTTGGCATCCAGGGCATAGTTGGGGACGTGGTGTGGGGCTGGGAGGTATTGAATGACTCCATCAAGCATAGGCTGGACACCCTTGTTGTGGTATGCAGATCCCATAAAGACAGGACAGAATTTAAGTCCAATAGTAGCACGACGAATGGCAGCAGCAAGCTGTTCACTGGTTGGAGTTTCTTCCATCAAAAAGAGCTCTCCAATTTCGTCATCAACGTTGGCAACAGTTTCAATCAATTCTTGACGCTTCTCGTTCACCTTCTCCATCAAAGCAGCTGGAATATCCTTGGTAATGATCTTTTCACTGGTATTCCACAGATTAGTTTTCCTATAAAATCGCCAATTAAGATTCCTCACCCCTTAGCTCCTTCATGGTAGTATGCCTTCATGTTCACAAGATCAACAACACCTTCCAGCTCGCTTTCAGCACCAATAGGAATCTGTACGGCGGCAGCAGTCAACTTGAGTTTCTGTCGCAACTGGTCAATGATTCTCCAAGGGTTAGCTCCTGCACGGTCCATCTTGTTGATGAAACAGATTCTGGGGACATTGTATCTCTTCATTTGTCTGTCGACAGTAATAGTTTGGGACTGGACACCTCCAACAGCACAGAGAACCAAGATGGCAGAATCCAAGACTCTCAAAGCGCGTTCTACTTCAATAGTAAAATCGACGTGTCCTACAAGTTGTTTTTTGGATCAGTTATACTGGCACTCAAAAGAGCCTTGAACAGCTGAACTCTCACCAGGAGTGTCAATAATGTTGATGGCATTGTCCTTCCAAGTGGCATAGGTAGCAGCAGATTGAATAGTGATACCCTTTTCTCTCTCCAACTCCATAGAGTCCATCTTTGCACCGACACCGTCCTTTCCTCGCACTTCGTGAATGTCATCAATACGACCCGTGTAGTAGAGGATACGCTCTGTCAAGGTAGTCTTTCCTGAGTCAATGTGAGCCGAGATTCCAATGTTTCTGAGATGGTTGAGGCGATTCTGGAAGGATGGCGATCAGTTTCATTCGTTTGACGTCAAGCTTTGCAGGGTGAAAGAGCGAACCTCGTCACTTGGATCGATCTTTGCAACGGCCTCGGTTGAGTAACTCCGGACGACCAGGGTTCTCAGAGATCGGCCCAAAGCAGGTGCTCTGAAGAAGCGAGTGAGCATCGCAGACTATTCAAACAGAAAAACAGCAAACAAATCCCAACACCCTTTCAAATGACTCACTCTTCCGAATCAGAAACAGTTGTCGCGCAACACACAATCCCGTTCACCGAGGGAACCCACGTGCACATTCAAATCATCCAAATGGGATCGTCAGTGTTTGTGTGGATTGGGGCCACGCAGGGCGACGCGGTGCACTCGCTCAAACCAACGGGCCAGCTTGTCGCACTTGCATTTGCGGCGACAACTCGATTCAACAACGGCGCGGCAATTGGATCGACGCTGATTGCTGCGAAGGTGGACGATGTGAGTGAGGGAATTGCGAAGCGAATTGGTTTGTTTTTGTGTTGGACACTTACTTGGCTCGTTCAACTGACTCTTGCCTTCTTTGATGTGAAGCGGCACGCACTAAGATGAATGTGTTTGTCAGTTGCGATCTGCCGAGTGAAGCTGCCGACCTCGTGGTCTTCTCAGAGAGGCATACAGTCAAACTCCTCAAAGAACTGGAAGCGAAACGCAACGCATCCCACGAATCCACACAATCAGCACCATCTACAACTCTGTAAATAAAACACTAGTCTACTGCATGTATAAAAAATGATTTTATTAGTGTCTGCAAGCACATTCCCTTGAACAATGAAATCAGTTCTTCTTCCCGTCGATAATGCCCGAGATGAGAGGAATGGCGGCATCGGCAATAGTGAAACTGAAGACGAGCTTTGGTCCAACCACAAGCAACTTTGGCACAAGACCCTTGAAGAAGGATCCGAATCCTTCGTTCTTGACCATGTTGGAGAGAATAACGAGTCCAGCTTCGGCCTTGTCGGCGGATTTGGCCTGAATACGGGTCTTGATAACGTCAAGCTATTTGGAAGTAAAGAGGTTAATCAACAGTATTACCAATGAAACAAGAGAAACAACTCAACTGGTGAAGAAACAGTGATGGAAGCAAAGGCACCACCAATAGAAGCACAAAAGTTTTGGAAGAAGGTGGCATCGTTGTAGTCCTTCAAGCCAAAGATGTTCTCCTTAACGAAAGCAGATCCTCCAAACAAAGCAAACGATCCAGGTGCGTTACGAGCGGCAGTCCAAGAAGCCCCACGGTACAATCCCCAACCTTCCTGAGTAATAATCTGTCCAAGTCCCTTTCCTTTCAAAATCTCTGGGTTCGTCTGAGCCTTAATCTTCAAAGCGTCCAAAGGCAACAAGACAATCTCTCCGACTCCAATAATACTTCCAGCAGTTGCATGCATCATAGTCTTCCAGTTGTCTCCAAACAAGGACTTGAAAGTAGATGAATGGTGAGTGTTGAAGTAATCCTTGACGTGTCGCTGTCCAGTCCATTTGTACATTCGTTGCATGACCTTGTAACCGGCAGCGAAACCAATTCCTGGGAATAGAGACTTGTACTTTGTGAATGTGCCTTGTGTGGCAGCGTCACGGAAGATGACTTTGTTGAGGACGGAGAAGCCTTCAGCTGTGGTTTGGCCCTTGGCGAATGGCTTGTTCATTTCAATTAGAATACAGTTGAGTCAAGAAGGATCAAAAGAATGCATAGGAATCCAGCGGAGAATCGATACAGTTCTTATCGATAAGCAGACAAGAACCACACAACACTCACCTTTTCTTTGGAGTTCATCAATCTCTTCGCGATCGTGTCCACTGGGTGGAAACAGACAAGCTCCAAGACTCCCGAAAGAGCCGATCCAAGAAGACGAGAGGTGAGTGATTCGTTGCCCTTTCCAGAAGATCCGTGGCCGCCCATGTTTTTTGTTTTGCCTTTTTTCGACTGGAAATCAGACATGACTCACACCGAAAGGAAATCGTATTTGATCTCTTTTGTGGAAAGAAGTAGGCGAGGAATAAAAGGAAAAGCCTGGCTCAGGAAGTGAGGTTATTTCAGGATTGGCTGTGATTGAACCAAGTACAGTATTAAAAAGCACAAGAATAAAAATGTGTGTAAACTGATACATAAATAGGTATGCTTGTATGAGAGGGAAGGTTGTGTTGGCTAAAGGTAACGCATGAAATATGTTTGAAATAGTTCGGACTTTTGAACGCAAGTGCCAATCCAAAGACGATGTTGGACGACACGCCCTTCTCGAGCAAGTAAGCCAGGCACTACTCGCAGTACGCACATCGTTTGTAAGAGAGATATGCGAGAGTGATTCGGATGCCAGTGCAAGTGAGAGTGTTCTTTTGAATCAACGAAACCACCAACACCAACGCAAACCAAGTTCTCGCATCGGACTTGGCCGCAACAAACACTTCGCCCTCGCCCTCGCCCTCGACAACACGCACGAGCACAAGTCTTGTTGCCGCGCTCGTTGCCGCCGCCGACGAGAGCAAGTCCGCATCGCGTCTTGTCCTTCAACTCGCGGCAACATCGGAACAACTCTTGGCCAGTGTCGCCGAGGCAATGCTTCAAGTACCGGCCAGAAACAGCGACGATCGGAGTCTGCTTG